TATATATATATATATATTCATAAAACCCTTTTTTTTTAATACTTAGATATGTATTTAATAAAACATCTCGTATACAGAATACTTAATCTCATCAAAGATTTACTTTTAAATGTATTCGGCAATATGTAAGCGTATTACACAATTACTGTAATAAGTGCTTTCTTCCAGTAAACAGTGAAGCCGTAGTGCCTAATCGCGAGTTAATCAGCTTAGAAGACAAACTTGCTCTAGGTTTTTACTAAACCCTTTGAAATTTTAATCATCCATCACATAAAATATTAAACTCCTCGTAAAATTGGTTGAATTTCCAATGGTAGGGAATATGACAACAAAAAAATATCATATTCCTAAAGTTCTATACCTAATATGTATTTACCTTAATAACATATTCTTAACTTGTATTTCAACATCATATTTCATTCCGAAATAATGTGTCATGAAACAATAATTAGAAATTTCTTTACTGTAATTAAAAAAAAGATATATTTGTTTTGTGCAAGTACTCATTATTACGTATCATTAATCTACTAGTGGCTCACCCTCGCTTCGCTCGGGTTCGCCTCTTGAAAAGCACAAACAGATGACAGGGAATAAAAAGTAACCTGTTCTTTGACCGGCAATGTAAGGTATCAACATGCTAAATTTTTTTATAGTTTTTTTATAGCTTATAGTTGCGTTAACAGACCATGCTGAATTTTACTAAATTAGGTGCATAAGTTGTACAAGTTACTATAGTTTTTTAACTATCCTACTCTTCAATTTTCTGGGATGAAAAGTATCTAAAATGTTGACTGGGGATTTAAGGCACCACCATGCAAAATGTCATTTAAGTCGGTCCAATAGTTTCGAAGATTAGCCCGTACAAACAGACAAACAGACAGAGAAACAAAAAAAAATGAAAAAAAAAATTGGATTTGTTCTATTTCTCTTCTTACGTCCCCCTGGCTTGGTTTTTAACATGTTTTTTTCTATGTACAGACATTCGACCTCTACACTTTTATTATTTATGTATAGATTATAATATATTTTTTGTTTTAAAATTTGAAAACACATAAAAACGGATCAAAATATTACTAATTCAACAAGCCAGTTGTGATTCTTCGACTCTTAAGCCACGCACACACTGTAACGTAAGTAAAGTTATACAATACCAACATAAATGAGTTTATAGAGTCAGTTAAAAATTAGTATGTAACAGTTGTCATATCGTAATATTGACGTAGAAACTGATAAAGTATTTTTTTAACTAAAATGGTATTTCGATTTCTAAATCACTTGAAATATAGTTTAAATTAGTTTGTAGTTATTTATTTGGTAAAATGTATTCATAAAAAATGATAATACCCGTATCAATCGTAGCATACACAATTACCTCTTTTTTGCAATCGGTTAAAAATAAAAATAATACGTTTTCAGAAACAGAAAAATTTCTGTGTTGCTTATGTTTAAAATACTTAATCCACACTTATAAAAAATAATATGATTACAAACTTAAGTCTAATTATTTATTACTTATACAGATTATAAAGCTTCATATGCTATATCTTTTGCATTTTGTTTCAAGCTTATCACTTTTATGAAAACATTCTCCATTTATTTGGTCACAAAATAACACGATTTGCTTTAACTTTCGATGTAGTTAGAAAAGTAATTAAAATTTTCAAACGCTTAAGGATTGGCCAAAGTTTAATTTCATAAACATAACTTAACTGCCAAGAGTTATTTATCATTTGCTCACAACTTCGTAAGAGACATCAAAAATATTTGATTTGCTTATTTGTTGTATTAATAAAAAATCTACACTTTTGAGGATGGAGGTTATAATTTATGTTGAGAAGATTATAAACTCTCAACACATTTTATCATTGGTTATAGATATATTACAGAATATTTCACAGAGTTAATATTCGGAGACACCAGATGTTTCGGATATTTACTGTACACTAAAATGGACGATTATTATCACAGAAATGTTTAGATTAGATTTTCATATACAAAAGGTGTTCAACATTTCGCTATCATACAAAAGCAAAAGTTTTATTCATTCTTTGAAAAGAGTGGAATCGATTCAGTTTTTTCATCTTTTGTTGATAGAAGAAAAATGAGGGCATATAACAGTCATTTAACCATGACCTACTTATTTTTCAAATATGTAGTAAAAATATTGTTGAAAGCATATATTTATTGCAGGTTCTGTATTGTTTTATATTTTTAAATAAAAAAAGCTCTTATTTGGATAGTGCAAAAAGCTATATCTAATAACTAATTTACTTAATAGACATTCATGGGAAAAGCTTTTTAAACATGAGAATTTCTACTTTCTTAGATTTACGCGAATATTTGTCATTTTAAATAAAACTGTCTTTTCGGATTATTTCGCGGATTTATTTTAATTTTTGGTTCCCGACGTTTCGAATGCTTTACAGCAATCATGGTCACGGGAGATTATTGCCATTTTTGAATTTTTGAAATTATTTTTGTAAAATAGTGGGTAGGCACTGTCTGTAACAAGTATATGTGTTTGAGACATCTATAACCTTAGTCTCTCCCGTGACCATGATTGCTGTAAAGCATTCGAATCGTCGGAACCAAAAAACAAAATAAATTCGCGAAATAATCCGAAAAGATAGTTTTAATTAAAATAAGAATTTCTTTTAAAATCTTGAATATTAAAATTAAAAGGTATATGTATTTATAAATCTATAATGTATACAGGTATAAAGTATTATACTTTCTTTAGCTTAAAAGTTACTATGATAAGTTAAATCTAAAATAATTCCATAAAGGGCTAACTTGTTTTTAAGAGCCTTTAAGAGAATTAAAATGTAGAGCTAAATAGTATGACTTTATTCATAAAAAAATAATTATAATTCAATTTTCATAATAGTAATATTAAACTATTGTAAATTTATAGAGTGAATTGAGATAGTATGTCAAGGTTGACCCTTTTACATAGAGAAGTAAAAGCATAAAAACGAAGATACTTATTTTTAATTTTAATATACTCTATAGTAAGCGAAATGAAATTCGTTGTGCATAGTGCATTTAACTTAATGCTTCGCTATTATTGTTCAAAAGAAGTTCTTAGATATAATGCAAATATAAGAGTGGTTTGTTCGTGAACAGGTAAATGTTACGAATGATCCCTTTATACTACTACTACGAATGATTTGATGGACCTATATTAATACTGCGAGCTTATTAAAAATGAAACAGGACTAATTGAATCCCAAAAACAGATTTTAGATTTGTAGCGTACGTGGTTTATTATAATACTAGCGACATACCCTCACTTCGTCTCTTACGTATGTTTTATATAGATGAAAATAGTTATTGTAAGCGTACCTTAGGAGATATTTGCATGCTATCGCGGGCTTTTTGTACACCTTTTTAAGACCTATAATATTCTAGTCCATTGTTTTGATGTATCTCTAAGGTTTAGCCAGCATTAGCCATGTAATCGTACTAAAATAGTTTTTTTAATAAAACTCCACCTTGGCTCAGTCATTTTTGTACAAAATATTTATAAATTATAAATGTACACAACCCTTCCTCGTTTATCGCACTTTTTATTAGTGATAAGCGTATATCCGTCGCGTCATACTTACTTAGATTAACGCAAATATTTGATATTTTAAATAAAACTACATTTTCGTTTTTTTTTTATTTACGATTTTTAATTACTGACGTTTCGAATGCTTTACAGCAATCATGGTCACGGGAGAGATCATGATCTGTGAAAACTATCTTTTCCCAAAAAATGGGAAAATTTAGTTTTATTTAAAATAATTCTTTGCATGATTTAGAAGAAGTAAGCGGAGAAACAGACATACGTATATAACGACTTTGTTTTATACTATGTACATATGCTCATAATGTCATATTATGCTCATAATGTCATATTATATAGTTTAACATATTGTTTATACTCGTAGGTGCTGAGCTTTAACAAAGTCCAGAGATAACATAAAAGTTCTTATCTCCATCCATGGTACCTGTGAAAGTGTTATAAAGCGTTTATATCAATTAAACTATTTAGTTTAAAATTTTGTTACGATATATGTATAGAGAAAAATTGACATTTAAATTGAATTTAAAAAAAAATACAAAAAATTAATTAATACCGATCACCATATGACAATTTATTTGACGTCGAACGCCTGTTACGTTCAACGCCCTCACACCAAAAGATAAAACAAATTGCTCTCTGCTATTATGTTATAAAATTATATTATCATGGCAATACATAGCATGTATAAAACATGGTAACACAGAGTTAAGCGAATATGAACCGTGTCAGTACATACATAAGTTTCTAATGTGATTTCGTTCTTTTAAACATTGAAAGTAAAATCAAATTTTCCACACTTTAAGAGCCGTTTCCTTGGCGCATGATAAAACATCGACAAGATGGCGAGAGATACACTTTTTGATACTAATGTACTCCCTATAATAAGGAACTTTTTTTTAACATTTCAACATTTCTAGCTATAAACCACAAACGTTACTGGAATAATAAATGTATACCGTTAGAAAAATTGATAAGAATGATTAATCAAATGTTGAAGTTGAGACATGGTTTGTAATTTCATATAGTATAGAGAAAACTCTTATAGTGTAAGTTTTCGCAATCGCTTCAGGATGATAAGCTTCTAAGGAAATTCGACACGCTTGAAAGTTTATACGAAGTCGATCTGAACTCCTAGGTTTTCAGATTAACAGCTTGGAATTAAAATTAAACGCTATAATAAGCCACCAATAAAAGCTCTTCTTACTATTAAATTACTAATGATACAAGCAAAAACTTAATTCAAATAAGAATTAGTGAATAAGGTTGATATTGACGCCGCTCCACGTATGAACGTAAATGGATATGTCATAAGATAGAAATCTTCACTACGATCGGTAAAAATATCAAACTTCGAACGATTTAAAGAGTTTTTAACACATCAATCCACATTTCCTATTGAATTGCTTAGAAAATGTGAAGCATACGGAAAATGGTTGCAAAACTAAACTACAACCGCAACTTAGAGCATAGAAATGGTATCACAATCCTACACTGAAAAAGGATTGATAAGGAGTAGAATCCAGAAAAGTTCACACTTAGATAGCGAGGCCTTAGCAAGTGGGGTCGTCGAACGGCGTCGGCGTCCGGGCCGGGAGGGGTGACGGTTTGGGCGCGTTATCGATCGGATGGCATACCTTCCTGCGGCCACAGCAGAGCATCCTCCGAGCGCGCGACTGTCCGCCCGGCGAAGACTTCAACCTGGCCAGCTTGCGCCACTGCATGAGGACAGTTAGCGCGGCGAGAGCACCCGCGGCACCGCTCGATGCTCGCGCATCGCGTACGGGATGTACGCGGCCGGAGCGCGCGAGCCTTCCTCGCGGAGTGCCGCTGCCCAGCCCGCGCCTGCGCTAACGCCACCCCCACACTTACTCACGATTAATAATTCTGGCTACGCTGCCAGTGCGTATGTGGGTTAGTTTTTTGGCGATCGATGCGATTATTCGGTGCGAGCTTCCTAGACCGATGCAACCCGACGACCTATTAATCGCGTTCCCACATGCATATAATGTCAATCAAGCAATTGTTGGCGTTGTTTTTGTCTTTTTGTAACAATTACTGTTTCAGTTAAATTAAATTTGAGGTATTTAAAAGTCATTGCCAATTACTTGCCATGAAATAAGTAATACCTACAACAAATAAGTAGTCTTAACTCTAGCTTCTTTCATTACGTTTAGTGTCCATATTATGTAAGGAAAATTTTTTAGACATACTTTGATTATCACAATTTAACAATCAAATTACCTAAATATATTTATTTTAAATATATCACAACTTACTTTTCAAAGTAAGTAAAATAGGCAAGAATATGTGTAGTAATGCTATTATACATGCCCGAAAACAATTTACAGTATGTAATTAGAAGGTCAAAAGTTAAATACATTGTTAGGATGATAATAAGCCATAGCGACGTAGGTATAACTTCCGGCGACCATACAAAGAGCCGACAAAACCGCATAGGGCGCCAAACTCCTGTACGCACTCGCTCGTCCGCTTTCCCGCTTTTGTAAATTAATGGAATTTCAACGACCCTTTTGGACGTACTTGCACGCGTCAAAATTGACACATCAGGCAATTACAGCAATTAAAGGGTGAATTCATAATATAAGCTAAGTGGACGTAGTCAATTATTGTGATTAGCTTCAGCTACACCTTATTCTAAATTGAATATTACCCATCGAAACCTAAGTTACTTATTATGCATCAAAACATATTTATTTACTTTCTCTATATGAATTCAAAACTTAATTCATATCTTAGAATGTGTTACGAATTTCAAATATCTCAAAATTTTTAAAAGACCTTTTTTGTATGTTAATTTTTAGGCCAAATGTTCTTAATTTCGAAATAGCGTGGTGTCCCCCACAAGAATTGATTAAGGCAATTTGGTAAATTGTTTTTATTTTAGTTTCTTTGGCAGTGAATGCTAGCTGAAAGCCTTTCATGATAACACATTTAATATTCGTATTTTTTCTAAGCAATGAAATATTTTGGAATATAGTTGTAAAAAACACTGATAATGCTTACAATTATAAGCTATTCTTGATACCTACTATATTGTAATAATAGTTTCTTATCCTCGATACGCTCGGGCGCGTCTGAAGTTATTTTTTAAATTGGTACGCCTCCTATAAGCAAATTTTATTACTGTCAGTAGCCTCTGTGCAACGGTAGGTATGTCTATCTTTGTAATTTTTATGAAATTTTGTAAATTTTATTTGTATGAAATTCACCTAGCCGTTTCAGCGTAAAAGAGTATAAAACATACACACACACTTGTAAACTTTCGTATTTATAATAATAGTTTTTATAATTGTTTTTATAATATATAAGAATTATCAATAATTGATCTTTCATTGTCTTTAGTTAACATTACTTTTAAAACGTACATGGAATTGGTTTTTTCAATCTAATAAAATCAATTTCGCTCAAGCCAAATAATATCTCAATGATATCTATAATAGCTGACGTACATACATCTCTTTGTTTAACTAAACCTAGTATTATATGTTCTGTGACTAAACTGACTAAAATGATCTCAATGATCTTAATAGATAATGAGCTAAAAAGCCAGAGCAAGTTTTAACTATGTAACAGTTTACAAGGGTTTATATTGGTCTTAACAATTGTGAGTTTCGACAAGTGGATATTGTACTAAAATTATCCGTTCGTATCGTGGTTTCGTTTGATAGTAAAAAATTGAAAAATGTAAAAAAATAACTTATCAAAGCTTAATATGACATCATTGTAAAAGATATCATCTAAATTGTCACATAACTTTATAGTTTTCTACTAACGATGTCGACATGAAGGCAATAATCAATATTATAGACACTCACTATATAGCTAAATTTACTAATTTCTTAATTAATAATCACACAATAAACATCAAAAAAGGGTATCTATTCAACACAATCTGTTCACGACATCTAGTCGACTTTATGATTTCCCCTTAATGGAAACTCAGGCAACCCGTCAAATTGGAGGGATGAGATTTGAAAGGGAATAAAAAAACGGGCGATTACACGAATGATAAAAAGAATCTACTTGTGACTGACAGTGTTCTTCTGTCAGTATTTCTTCATAAACAACTTATGTAGACACAATTAATATACGACCTGTATATGTTTTCATTTTACAACTTTTTATTTTTCTTTGTATAATGTTGGGTATAAAGTTGCCTATAGTGTAAGTTTCAATGAAAATAAATAAATAATTCATTAGTTATGTACCGCTTTGGTTCTACTCGTAAGTACGCAGTTACTACATGTAAATATAATGTAGGCATATCATATATAATATAAAAATGAATCGGTGAATGTGTTGGTAAGCGCAAATCTCGAGAGCAGCTGAACCGATTTCGCTAATTCTTTTTTTAGAATATTCCTTGAAGTACGAGGATGGTTCTTACTGAGAGAAAAATTTAAAAAAATGCCAGAAAAGTCTAAAAACAACACTTTTCTATACTCCCATACAAAAGATTCGTAATAATACTTAAAAGGCAAATTGAACTTTAATACCATACTGTAAAGTTTAAGTGTTAGTGGAGAGGTTCCGGGAAGAAAAAACAATTAAGTGACGTTAGTATCGTATAAATATTAATGTCAATATTTGTCAATATTATTACCAAAAAAAAATTATATTGCTAACGCTGGCTAATAACTATTTATATCTATTTAGAACGTGACTAGCGACGAACCCGAGCGAAGCGAGGGTGAGCCGCTAGTCTTATATACATATTTAGCCAAGCAATTTATATATGATCTCCGTTTTGTACATGAGTTGATGCAGATTAAAATAGAATTTAATATAAAAATTAGACATCCTAAGTGCTCTTAGATATAATATCATAAGCTATTCTCTGTTGATACTATACTACATATATGTACATACATTTACGATTTATCTCGATAGCTAGTGTAACTATAACATATAACAAATAATAATACACTTGCATCGTTTTTGATCCCGAAACCGATTTTTATAACTTTTATTATTTTAAAATACTCTTTACTAATATATTAAATTATATTGAATTCAATAACCACCCGAAAGTCAGTAGCAGAGAATGGGAGCGACATATTAATAATAAAACCGGTAACCCAGAGTAGGCCATAACAGGCTTATCTTTAACTTAAATAACTCTTGCACATAAAACGATGTCCTTTCGAATTTACCCACTGGAAAGCATCCAAGTCTTTATTGGGTGCAAAAGAAATCCTTAGGCGATTTTCGACGGATATTAACGTCGAACTAGTCGAATCTAATGTAGATATCTACCTGGTATATTAAATATATTTATATTCTTTTGTTTTTTTTTCTTTACACATATTAAATGTGTATATTATTTTTTACACTTAATTTTTATATAAACAATTAACATAGCTGTTTTTATATAGCGTAGCACTTCGTAGCACCTCGTAGACAAGCACTTTACTTGCAGGTAAGTAGTCGTAAGTGATGTTACAGATAAAAATTAATAAAATACGATAAGTCGTTTACTAATTAAGTTTATGATCTGTAAATTAAAATAGGTAACTACGTTCTTATACATATTATAACTCTCATACTGAGATGAAAGTTCTAATGATTCTCCAACATGAGTTATTTTGTATTATTATCGAATTACTTTCCTATAACAATACCGAAATAAAGTCAAAACACGAGTCAAAAAAGATAGAACCCACTTTTCTGTTCAATTCAGATGTTATTTGTATCTTGATTGACTGCTCGATTGCCTTTTTAACAGCTAGGTACTACCAACTTTCCAATCAAAAGTGCAACAAAAAAATTAGGTAATTTACTGGTAGGTACCTATATATTTACTACTAGAACATAGTTTTTACTAAACTACTTTTAAAACAGATATTAGAATTGATTAAAACATAAATTAGCAATAATAAAATGGTACACTTATACCTACGTGTCATCTTTTTTGGAGACTTCTGTATTTTGTTTATAGGTATTTTTTAGCTCAGACTATTTTTAATATGTGATAAAAACATAAGATCTTATAAAGTTAACGACCTTTTATCTTATTTTTTATATTTTTAAGTTGAGAAATGCATTTACGCATACCACCTGTTTCGGATCTGTGGAGACTTACTAGCTAAAGCCTAAAACCCAACGGAATTTTCCACATCTTCATGGAGCGCCGCAGGATCACTTACGCATTGCATAGCGACAATTCAGTGAGGGAGGCCATAACAGCCCGCGAGGGGGCCTCTCACGGTCCATACTGCTGTTATTAAGAAAGTACCAGGAGTGACCGGCATGGTAGTCCTCCCTCGCCTTCCAAGTGCATCTCTTAGCTTCACGTTTAGCTGTACTGGCGGACGCTACTGAGCCCTATTTTATTATTATTGTACCTACTATAAATATATATTCATTGAATTGAATTTTAATGTCAGTAATTGAAAGCAATTGGAAGTAGTAGGTATATATTTTATTATTTTATTTCCTTTTAAATATTTTATATTTCAAAAAATGCTTAGTTAATGGACATACTTAATATATGAATCAGAAAAAATACAATAAACGAACTGCTGTTACAAAATAAAAACGTTTAAATTTGTATGTGTTACTTCTACACTTTTAACCGAGCAATTAGTAAGTTAATAGGAATACCTAAAAAAACTGAAAATTATGACTAGAATGAAAAAGATTATTGATAATAATTTACTAGTTTCTACATGTAGCTTGTGCCTACCTACATGAAAAGTGGTTTCTTTTTTCCAGACTGCGCTCAGCTCTACGTGAAGGAGGGTAATGTGTTTATCACCCTATGTATGTATGTTTGTTCCTTTGTGGTACTCTAAAGACCACATGCGTGGGCTGATTTCGATGATCCATACGCCGTTAGATTCATCTTCATAACGCGAATGTCATAGATTACACTAAAAATAGTTAAAAATTGAAATGGCGGGTTTCAGGCGCTAATTTGTGTCTAATAAAAAAACTCTTCTAAACCAATCGAGTGAGGTATCAAAATAAAGGTTTTTAAAAGACGAACACAAAAATTTACTAACTTCTAATGTCTAATTAGGAAGAACTAAAAAGTTGAAAATTAAAAAAAATATATTATAAGAATAAAAAATCTGATTGCATAAAAACTAACGAAAAAGATGAAAACAAGTTGATGAAGGAATAGAGTATTACACAATCAAAGACATACATAAATATGTAGATACAGATGATGTAATGTGTAGATGTAAATACATCTCACTGCAAGGCTGAATCATGTATGTTTTGACATGACTGCATAATACTATATTCCTTCAACAACTTGTTTACATCTTTTTAGTAGGTTTTATGCAATCAGGCTTTTTTTTATTAAACATTCTTAGGTAGCACCATCTATTAATATCTATCTGTATGCCAAGTTTCATCTAAATCCATTCTAACACAGATCATATAATACTATACTAATTCTAAGTTTTGCTGGCAAACATCTAATAACAAACTTTCAGATTTGTAATAATTGAATGATCCTACAAATTGAGAATTTAACTGTAACAATTACTGAAGATAATGACCGATAACAATGAGTATATGATGAATGATATATTAAGTTCATATCATAATTTTTTTCAATAGTCGCAGTTAACAATTAGTTGAACAATTTGATTAAAGAAAAAAATAATATTTGTTTCAGTATTTTATTACAACACATAACTTACATTGTAGGATGAAGTAACTATATATTAGAATACATCTCAATAACAAATTAAGAGCTAGTAATCTATTTAGAGTAGAAATAAATTTTATTTTTAATTACTGCAATTTGCAGCTACAATGCTTCACCTAAATCAATGCAAACAGATTATTATAATATGTACACACACATTATTTATTTACAATTTTATCATTCCTATTGATTGTATTATATGTTTAAGTGACAAATATTTGAAAATGAATCCTAATCTTTAATGATGTACAAATCTGATGCCATTTGATTATAAAGCCATTTAAAGAATATCAAAACATAATGATTATCAAACATACTCGTCTCCTATATTCAAATCAAACAAATGATAAACCTTATTATAAAAATTTTATTGTGTGTCTTTTCTTAAATGTTCCCATGGGTCTTTTAGCATGGAAGGATGAAGGTAAGCATCAATATTACTTTTATTTTCTCGGCTATAACTGCTGCTTCCGTCACTCTAAAACAATATTAACATTACAGTTACTTATCAAATACACTCGTACAAATAAGGAGTTACAATAGATATGATTACTCTTTAAACATCAATACATTTCATCTTTTTAAAGTATAATTTATTTATACTAACTACGAAACTATTGCTATGTTGAGAATTATTTCCCCAATGTTTTTGATGATGTCCACGTCGTTGCTGAGTTTTTTTATGCCAATTGTTTTGATAAGAACCCTGTTGACTCCTGTTCTGCCATTTTCCTTGTACAGGAGTACTCTGATTCAATGGAATAAAATCGTCAGACATAGCTAGTTACCTATATATTTAAATAATATAACAGTTTTACAAGTTTTAACTTAAATCAATTTATTGTTTTATGTTTACTACAAAGTGAAAAGGTAAACAAGCACTATCAAAATGTCAAACAGTATAATTCATTAATCACTTTTTTACCTAACCACAGACTCAATGTTGCCAACACTTGAAATTTTATACCCCTAAGAGCAATTTCCAAAACCCCTAAAACCCTCTAAATGACAATTTGTAAAATATAGGTTTTTATCTACAATTTTTTTTTTGTTTTCAATGATTACAAGTAGCAATAAATATATATATATATATATATATATATATATACATCCTGCGCTCTATATAAAAAAGATTCAAATGTTACTGAAAATGACTTATATTGGACAAGAATCTTACTTCAACTTACAAGGAGTCTTTATTGCAGTTTTTTTCTCTCATAAATATATTTACTTATCAGGCACACAATCTACTTTCAGTATATGTAAAGTAAAGGTCAAATCGTACGACAATTTTTTTCGTTATCCGGGGGCGGAAATAAGGCCTTATCGATACCCTTCCTTCCATAGATAGCTTAGAAAATAATAATAAAAGTATACATGATGCAAATGATATTTAAAGATATATGATTTTTCCAAGCCTTTAAACGAAACTTTAGTAGTATTTTCCCCCTAAAAAATCCATCGTGCAATTTTTTACCCCTTATTTTGGGAGGAAAGCCCCTAAGTTAGCTATACAGCACAGACTATGCTACTAGCCGAAACCAAACTGTCACATTTAGATAAGCTGATAGTCAACCATCAATAATTAATCTTTAGATTAATATTTCGCTGCAATTTCATAATATAAGTTCTTATATTTTATTAAAGTTGAGGAAATAAAAAATACAGATAACCTTATGTTGATGGACATAAAACATAATATTTTATGAATTTATATAAAACAATTGATGAATTAAAGTTTAGTTGATTTAAATTATAATAAATTATTATTATGTATGTTAAAAGCATTGAAATATATTTCTGTTTTAAACATGTACATATCAACTGCTGTGATTTGAAGTATCAAAATTCAAAACCCTCGATTCCAGCGCAGTATAATTCTTTAAGTAGGCAAAAAAACACAATTTATTTGGGCCCAGATTCTTAATTCACTAAAACAGATAACTATCTATTTTTTTGTAAAACCAAAACAATGATTTAGTGACACATTCAAAAGTAATTTAAGTTATTCAGAAGATACATATTGTAAAATGTGGATTCCTTCGAAATCTCCAAAATTAGCCGTCGGTAAGTTTGACGTTTGGATTCAATCAGCAATACATCCTGTGCAATTACAGGAAGCGTAAATACATGTTAAGAATTTTTAATAAATTATTTCCGACACTATTTTGTCTATAAAAGATTCATTATTAAAAATATAATATTTGCGTATTTATAATTAGGATAGATTTTGATTAAATGCTGATACATATAGCTTAAAGGCACATTATATTATATTACTTTGTTTATGTAGTAAAATGATAATTAAAATGTTAATATAATAGAGTAAAGAGGAGTTTTAGTTCTTACTCGAAAATCGCAGTCAATTTGAAATCATACTATTAAATTTTAAATTAATATTTCTTTTTTATTTCTAATTTACTCATAATATTATACCTATGTCATACTAATATTTTTTGATGCCTAATATATAATTAATGAATAGGAGGTACATCCAATTGTAGCAAAAACATATAACAATTTAATAGTATTTTTTCTGTTTGTTTCAAAATAAATTAAGGATAATATTTTAAAAAATATTTGCTTATTAGTAAATAGCTACATACTACGAAAACTTCCTATTTTTTTTAACTTCTTATCTAATTAATATCAACATTTCGCAAATTAAATTTTTTAAATTCCAATTTTATTTAAGCCGTTTATAACTGGAAAGGAGATGTTCGATCAGGATTACCACTTGAGATTGGAGAAACAGTTCAAATTTTAGAAGAATATGGAGGTAATTTTTACAGCACATATTCCATATTATATTTATAAAATTAACAATTAGGTTTTCTTCATAAAAAATTTAAAAGATTTTTTGTATAACAAAAATCTTTTAATTATTTTATAAATGTAGTGCAAGTTTGTTATTATTTCACCTTTATAAAATATTCAAAAATAATTTCAACAAAATAATGTATCCTAAATTCCGAGCGAAATTTATATGTACTTTTTTATAATTTTGTTTGTTTATAGCTGTTATATACTCTTGCATTGTAACTTACTTTTTTTATGAGTAAATTACATTTTTGAGTAAAATTAATTTTACTTACTTTTTTACTTTTTAAGTCTATGACATCTATTATTATTAACTAAAACTATATATACATATGTATATCCTGATTTCAGGATGGTTTCGTGGATTCAGTACAAATAACAGATCTGCATGGGGCATATTCCCAGCATGTGTGGTATCAATTCGACCATGTACTGTGAAAGGTACAGGTGTATCGGCTATTGCAGAATTGAAAGATGATCCACTAGTGCGAGAAATTGCATGCGTCTTAAGGGAATGGGCTCGGTTGTGGAAGAAACTTTATGTGGTAAGTTTTCATAGCTACATATTTTATTAAATAGCCTATGTGCAAGGTATGCTTCACTTTTTTTGACCGGAACCCAAATTATTTTTCTAAAATAAAAGTAGCCTAAGTTACTTTATAACATCAGCTATCTGCCAGTGAAAGTCCCGTTAAAATCAGTCCAGCCATTTCAGAGATAAGCCAGAACAAACAGACAAAAAATTTTAAAATTGTTTTTTTCTCATAAGTACCATATGTCATAATGTTCTTTGTGAGTTAAATGGAGTTTACCATAATGTGGCAAAGCAAGATTATCAATAACGTCTCATTTCCGCCCTCGAATAACGAAAAAAAGTATGTCATTCGATTTGATCATTTCTTAACATATTCACAATACTTCACATACACCAAATTGACTGTGTGCCTCATAAAAAATATAAAAGTATGGTCTCCTTTGCTAGTACAAACCGCTATGTCATTTGCCACCTTGAATGAATGAAAACAATTGAATGATCAAGTTTATGGCCAAGGACATTTTTGTATTGAACCTCATTAAAATCATGGCCGTTAATACACCGATTATGTATATTTCTGAGTTACATGCCTACCTACGCCCTTCTAAATGCTAACATTTTCATAGGAACTTTTCATAGGAATGAAAAATATAAACATACATTTTATAAGTAACAAAAGTGTCAGAAATACTATACAAAGTTGCTAGTAGTTCCAAAAATTCTATGACAGTAAAGTATAGAATTTTATATAATACTAGCGACTTACCCTTGCTTTGCTCGGGGTACTTTGGCCCTGGGTACGCGGATTTAGTACGCAATTTCTTTGGTTTTAATTTTTTTGCGCGGAACTCTTTTCTTAAATAAAAGTAGCCTAAGTTACTCCTTATTAATCAGCCACCGTAAGTCCGATTAAAATGGGTCCAGTCATTTTGGAGATTAGCTGGAACAAACAGACAGACAGACAAAAATGTTTAAAATGTAGTACCGTATATACTTTCATACATAAGTAGTAAAAAGCTGTTATTTTGACATTACAAACAGACACTTCAATTTTATTTATATCTGTATAGATGAGAAGTTTCTTTGTTTATTTATGCCTTCTGAATCATACTTTGTTATGTTCGTAATGGATGTAGAAATAATTGTTTGGCTTACGTTCGTCATTTACATTATCTTAGCTGAGTTTGCTATGTGAACGAGGAAGAAATTAAAGATTATAATTTCCGTTTTATGAGAAGGTCAAGTGGTTTTAACCACAAATGATAGAATAGATTCAAGTATACTTTGATTTTTACATAATCTGACTATTATTATAAATGCGAAAGTTAACATGTCTGTGTATGTATGTTTGTTACTCCTTCACGCTGAAAGGGCTAGAGACATTTTGATAAAATTTTAGTTATAGATAGACCTAGACTTAATTTGGCACCGAGGGACGTAAATACTAAGTACTATATTATATTTACTTGTGTCCAATGTCCATCCATCTGTACCAACTTCATTATGACATACTCCTAATTGAAACAAAAACCTTAAAATTTTGATTTTGAAATTCTAAAATATATGCTAGTATATTCGTAAATAAACGTATTGATTTCTTCTTTAATAACAGTCGTTAAAGCTTAAAGTAGCATTAACACTTTTCTTTCATTGATTGTCTAAGACTTCCTAAGCTCACAAATCATTAGCTAGGAACGTGATATTGTGCGAGTCGGAAAGGTATTTGAGATTATAAATTTTATTGAAATACATAAAATATGTTATAGATCTAAGAAGTTCACTGAAAATGAGATCATATCTGTTCACCATATATCAAAGATCTTTATACAAACATGTCTGACAAGAAATTATACAGTGTAGTTAAACACTGAGATAAATATACATGTATTTTACAGCTTGCTAGTTATAATGCTTGTTCTATAAATGAAAGGCCGTGATGAGGTCCGCATTTCAAGGCTCGGGTCGGAATAAAATGAAAAACAGAATGTTTCTATCAAGAAACTCGAAAGTTGAAGATGGGAGTTGGGAAATTGATTAGAGCGTAAAGTCATCGTTTCTACTTGATGATTTTTTTGCCTGTTTTGTAGGATCACCGTCCCATCGCATCAGAAAGAATGATGAAAATATAGCACCTTGTCTTTGCGTACACCTTTGATCTATAATATCACCTGCGTAGATGGCTAGTCATTGAATGTTGTTGGTGAAAAGTCGTCTAGGAAGACTTTTATCTTATTAGGGTTCCGTACCCGAACGGTGCCAACGGAACCCTATTACTAAGCCTCCGCTGTCCGTCCGTCTTAGTAAGTCGTCGTGGTCATATTAATAAAAAGTATATGTACGATGGTACGGGACACTTGATCAATCTTGTAAAAGATCATACTGTTGGATCTAATAGACTGAAAGTAAACCAAACATATTGTATGTTTGGTTATCACTAAGAAAAGATTTTTTTAATGTAAGCGCTAAAGAGCTGAGGTATACAGGTGTGGCAGTATTAATACAAAAAATAATATTTTTTGGGTATAAAATAAAAAACACATGATAAAAATTAAAGAAAAAACTTATCTGTTTAATAAAAAGATTTAAATTATCTCTAGTTTTTGCCAATCATTCATTTCGGAATTTGGCAGGCACATAGCCTATTGTGAAAAGAAATAGAATGCATTGCGCTGTGTTATTATGGTCGTATATATTGCTTATTATGGTCGTATATATGAATAATCGATCTAACACGAGTTAGAGTCTGGACGAAAGAGAGGTCGTTAGTATAATCATAAACAATATATTACGAGATATTCAATATACTACATATATATACAACACTGTCATATGTCAAGGCTTATATTCTCAATTACATATAATTGTCTTGAAACATGAGCATACTTTATGTCCGTTATTTATCTCAAGTACTCTACAGACTACAAACACTAGGTACTATTTGTCTAGGAAACTGGAATTAAAATTCTTAAGGTTATGGAATGGAATAGCTGTGATAAGTCTAATACATTTAATTTAACATAATATATATCACTACATAGTATAAAACAAGTCGCTTCCAGCTGTCTGTCTGTCATTATGTATGCTTAGATGTTTAAAACTACGCAACGGACGTTGATGCGCTTTTTTTAATAGATAGAGTGATTCAAGAGATAGGTTTATATGTATAATACATGCATATTATAGTACAGAAAAGCCGAGAAATTCAAAGATTTGTATTTCATACTGTTAAAACGTAACTAGGGACGAACCCGAACGAAGCGATGGTGAGTCGCTAGTATGCACATAAAACAAAGTCGGGTTAGTTAACACCGTTTATAACTCAAGAACGGCTGGACCGATTTTTATGATATTTGATTTGCCGAATACATTGCAAAAAATACACATTGCAAAAAATCACGAAAATTATTTACATGGCTGAAGCTGCCTGATATCTATTTAAAACGTACTTAGGGGAAGACCCGAGTGAAGCAAGAGTTAGTCGCTAGTATAATATTTAAGTGACAAATAAACTAAGGAATAATATAGGTTAGCGTGGTATAAACGACTGGGCATATTATAAGCAGGGATGAAAGTCATATGTAAGAGAGTATTAGAGATCACTGTGGACTGTGGATAGATATAAGAAGTAGACCGAGGAAGTTATAACTGCATGAAAGTAGATGTGTGTGGAGATGAGGAATTTCAGAGGGAAATTAAAGATGTAAGTACCATTGCTGGTACAACGACCGATCCCACGTAGCATGGGATATGAAACAGGAGAGTAGAAGATATGACATTTTTTTTTAATTCAAATTATTATTGCATAGACATAGTATATGTTCTGATTATGTCATTATATTTTATTTGTTTATTTAATCGTTTGTGTTATAAAATGGTTGGTTAATTTTTCTAATTGAGTTTTAGGAAAATGTCTAAAATATGTAAATATTTTATTTACAAGTTTTATTAATTTTCCTTTTTTGTATGTTTATCGGTCTTTATGTCTTAATAAATTCAATTTATCTTGAAAACACTTGTTGATATCGGACTTAGCCGGAGTTATTTGTATCTATGAACTTTCAATTACAATGCATTACGTATGTACATAGCAGCCTGAAGCTGGTCGTATGATATAACCGATATAGGAACTCCCTAAATACTCGTATACACTCGTCTATTATCACGTTTCAATAGTTTATTATTAAAACCTTTTAAATAAAACTGTCTTTTCAAATTTTTTTACGGATTTATTTTGATTTTTGGGTCTCGACATTTCGAATGCTTTCTTAGTACAGCAATAGTAATCACTAACAAATATATAATAAAACAAACTGGCTGGGAACCAAATATCAAAATAAAGCTTTATTTGTGAAAATTTCGTAAATCTAAGAAAATAACTATTCATAAAAGCTTATTTACAGCTAATAGATTATTCATTATATTTTAGGAGCATGAAGAATATAGATTTGCTGCAGTAGCGAAGGTGATGCGCGAACTTCTAAGCGGTCGACGCGCACTATTAGCTGGTACTTTAACTCAGGATCAAACAAGAGCGCTGAGATTGAAACTCGTAGCGAGATTAGATTGGGGTAACAGGTAAGTGAGATGAATACTAATTAATATAATTATTAATTATTCTTTCAAAATGTCCTAACAAAATATGACTTTGAATGTATTATTTAGTTTTTATGTTTCCTATTTCAATGCTATACAGCCTATATATTTTTGGAGAGAATGCACTAGGAAGATACGGATAGTAATGATTGATTTTGTTCTGGCAACGCTGAGTTAAACTGTCATCCATTAGTAGTTTAACTGTGCGTTAGATTGAAGGACTGTGAATGGGGAATATGCGTGTGATTTAAATAAAGGTGAAATATTTATTATATAATCTTTATTGCTTTCAAATTAAGTCTATATCAATATATTTTTTTAATATAATTTCTTTTAATTAAGAAAATAATTATTAAAAAGTGCAAATATAGGTGGAAAATTCTAAGTACTTAATTGAAACGCACGCCATTGGTCAGACCAAATATGACGTCAAAGTATTATCTTAACAGCGTTTACTGATTTTGTCGCTACAAATTGAGTCGTCATTTTTCTGTGTACATCATGACGTGACATGACATTAGTGTGACGATGACAAGCGTGCGAAATGGCGGGCGTTTAAACTTTAAAGTATCCATATTGATATAATATTATTTTTTTATACTAAGTTTTAGTTTTTTGGAGCTGGATATTTTTTTAAATATAATAAAATTAGGCTTAATTCCTTATTATGTAATTTTCATAGGCAACGTGAGTGTGAAAACTAAAAAAATTTTGGAGTGTTAACCCTACGTTTAGCATCATGTGGAGCTTAATATTCAAAATAGAATATTCAATATATAAAAAATGTGAATGTAAATTATTTTTAAAGTAAGAATACAATTAAACAAGAATACATGTTTGTGGGTCGGGCAGTGACATTCTTAAATGGAAAGTGGTACATAAGAGACGTTATTTGTCTTTAGCAAAAAGCTACTCGGTAGATACTTAAGCGATACGGTAGAATGACAAATATTGGAAAGAAATTTATATAATTACTAGCAGAAACCGCGGCTTCGCTCGCGCTAAAACTCTAAAGAGTTCCCGCAAACTTTCATCCCCTATTTCCCCCCCCTTATAGGACAAATTTCGAAAAATAATAAAATACGTATTTATTTAATTTTATTGAAGAGCCACCAAGAGAGAGATAAATATTTTATTGTATTGTATAATAACATGTTTTCCCGTGGGAATTAGATGATCTCTGACGGTAAAAAGTAGCCTATGTCACTCTCCAGCCCTCCAACAACATTTATACAAAAAATCACGCCAATCCGTCACTCCGTTTCGACGTGAAAGAAGGACAAACAAACAAACACACTTTCACATTTATAATATTACTATGGATTAATTATTCAAGCATTTACTCTGGCGAGAAATGGAAACCGCTAGAACTATATGGCTTAAACCACAGCTTATCCCGATATTGATACACATATATGTATATGTAACCGCAAGAAAGATTTTTTTAAATACAATCAAAAGGCAAGAAAATGGATGTAAATTGATTCCTATAAATCAATATTTTCTTTTTTTCAAAATAAAAAAAGCAGCTAATAGAATCCCGATTGGGCTGTTTAGAACTGTCAAAATTTATAAAAAAGACAAAAAAAAATTAGGTTAATGTCAACCAAATCTCTTAACAAGATTTATTTCTGCCAATGTCGAGTGATGTATTGAATTGATGATATAAATCGTATAACAAAAGACGGGTGTTTTAGTTCCTTTGCCTTTTCATGGATTCCGTCGGGATTAGTTTTCTTTTACAAGAAGGTTTCAAGAAGTTGTCAACCCGCACGTTCGAATTCAAAATGTTTCATTGTTTTTTGCACCTACCACTTAGAACACAAAATAACACCAGATTTATATGCTAAAATGTATTAAATAATCAATTACACACATTAAAGCAGATCATGATAGTATGCTTTCAGTTCAGCTACCCACCACGGAATCCCATTAAATTTTTTAATGCTATTCCTATTATATCTCAATAAAATCCTATCTATACATATAATAAAATTGTAACTAAGCCTGAAAGCCTGTGCATCTGTACATTAAATATTTTTTTGAAAATCTTTTTTATTTGATTTTTATTTATTTTAATTGAAATAAACATTATTATCGATACAGAGGCCGAATCTATAGTTTTTAGAATTTCTGTCTGTCTGTTACCGCATCACAGAAAACCCATTGGAGGGATTTTGATGAAATTTGGTATGGTGATAGCTGATTATCCGGGTCAACATATAGGATACTTTTTACCGTGGGAAAATGTCTCATTTCTGAGAAAAAATACAAAAAAATGTAGAGTATACGAGTATATGAAATCTAAGAAATCTAAGAATTTGGTTTATGGTCACCTGAACGCGGGCGGAGCCGCGGGCAATGCTAGTGAGAATATAAACGTCAAAAGTAAGTGGAACGAAGAAAATTAATCATAAGTCAATTTAATGTGTAGAACTCGAATTTTATTTCTTCTTTTTTGTATATACTATTGTTCGTTCATAACGTAAAGACATAATATACAATTCGTATATTGTAAAACTTTGCCCGGGGTATGTATGTCTTGCGATGTAGTTGCGCCGAACGATAAGCAGTAAATATATTATTTTAATCCAGGACGTAAGCTATCGCCATTCCGAATTTTACGCAAATCCATTGAGCTGTGTAGCGTGAAGTAGTAAAAACACATTCATATCCACTCTATTTATGATATTTTACTTCAAAACATTATTTTACTTCATAGGTAAATACATACACAAATCACAATAAATCAGAGATTTAATAAACATCATAAAGTAATACTTTCTTAGATTTATTTAACATTTTAAATAACACTATATTTTCGGATTATTTAGCGGATTTATTTTGATTTTTGATTCCCTTTTGGATTTTTGGTTGTTTTTGGGGAACCAAAAATCAAAATAAATCCCCGAAATAATCCGAAAAGATAGTTTTATTTAAAAATCATAAAGTAATCTATTAAAAATCCGAAAATAAATATCTGATTGCTACCTCTCACCTCCAAGAGAGTTCCATAGTAGGTAACTAGAATCTTATTAATCAACTCCACAGAAATCTTAATAATAAGGTAATAGAAATGCCATTGCGGTCTTTTAGTACTGGGACGCGTGTCGCCGGCTTGCAGCTACCAACACATTGACAACAATAAATACACACTATCGCCCACACATGCATTTTGCATTGTTGCAACAAAAATTAAACTTTAAGCGATGACATTACGCAATATTTTCTAAAAACGCATAATCTCAGATGGCGTAATCCCTGTGACCAATAATAAACGTGTGCGAAAAGCACAGAATGATATCGCGCGCTCACTTTTAGTGCAGTACAAAGCGCATAATGCTCATATCGATAATTTTCCGTTGAGTCTTGCAACAATAGGTAACTAATTTATTGAAAGTGTTTTGTTTCATTCCTCGACGCGCTTTTAGACGATTTATTTATTTTCATAAAGGGAATACAATAAAACGTTAAATGTAAGTAAATTTTTTTATTATTATATAGTTATACAAAAGTTATGCAAACTATTTGTTAAAATCCATATATATATATATATATATATATATATATATATATATATATATATATGTATATATATATATATATATCCATACATTTTGAACAATGACTTAAAAAAAAATTATAGAATTTCTATGTTGTTTATCAAACAACTCGCCCTTAGAATTATTTACTCAATCAAATCAAATCAAAATATTCTTTATTCAAATAGACTTTTACAAGTTCTTTTGAATCGTCATTTTTACATGATTAAACTTTACATTAAATGTCAGTCTGTAAGTCTGTGAGTATGTTACCACCGACTCGGAATGCTGATCTGCTGAGAAGAGCCGGCGAGATACTCAACAGTTGCTCTTTTCAAAAAATATTTGATTACAATATTTATTGCATTACAATATTTATCCATTTATCCTACGTGAGACACAGCAAGACATTAATCCGACGCATTTACATCTTCTAAATATTCAGTAATGGTGTAATAAGCCTTATTCAATAATGTATTTTTAATTTTAGAACTAAATTGATTCAAAGGCAAGCTCAATATGGACTGTGGAATTTTATTATATATGCGTACACCTTGCCCCATAAACGATCTATTTACTTTATGTATTTTGTCTTTTTGGCATTTAAAGCCAGATTATTAATGTTACTGCCCTGAAAAATGTAAAAATTTATTTAAAAGTTGTCGTTTTGGGATAAATTGGATAGCATTTTTGGCAAAGTGATTGAGGCGAATATCTATATATTTTTCTAAAACGCATTTCACTAATTGAATGACATGATTATCAATTGGAGACTGGTCATATTGATGAAAATCAATATCTTCAAATATTTTTATCCCAACAAAATGACGCATGGCCTTCGTTACAAATTCACTTTTAAACTTTTTATTTGCTATTAGCTTGTTGTCAAAAACAATACTTTTTAGCAGTACATACTAACAATACTAGTACTACATACATAACAATAATAAGCCTACCTCCTAATAATTTTCTGAATGAAAAAGTAGTTTAATAGTACGAATTTACAGATAATCGTTGATAAATGACTTTTTATAAATTATTCAGACAGAAAGAAAACATACACAATGAGATGTAACAATTAAATATTTAACGAAAAATATTAAGCCAAACGTAATAAATTTTCGATAAAAAATTGTGGTGGCACGTCACTAATTCGCGGCTAACTTGTGCGTCGTGTCCTTGGAATTTACGTACGCGACAATATTGTTCTTTACGCATGAATATTATTTCATTGCTGCTTTTAGCAGTTGTAATAGTATACATGAACAAGCTTAAGTGGTAATGGTTATTGAATTGAAAAAAAAACGTTTTCCTGCGATAATCGTAGTAGTGGTGGTGAAAACATTTGATTTGGCTATATTTCTTAAAAACGACATTATTTCAAAAATTAAGTACTTAGGGGAGAGGGGGGCACCTTTGAACACTTTTTAGTTATTAAATTATATTTCCCATATGGTATTATAAATCAAAATGTATTATATTTTATGAATAGATATGGGGCTTATACTAAATAATAAAAATGATATTTATTTATTTTGACCCATCAAATTAACGCAATTTCTATTTTTAAAAAACCATATTTTCTTCAAATCTGCCCCATCCGCGAGGCACATTTGAAACCCCTAGGGGCAGTATTGTAAAACCAGGATAAAATAAAAACCACGTATCTAAGAATATAATTAAGACTATATTTAAGTTATTTGCATCTTACATTTCATGCATAGCCATTTATACCTACACTAGTTATTACTTAAATAAATTGTATAAAACACTAAACAGTCTGGGGCAATCTTGAACAAGATTAAACTAACTTACAAGTTATAAAAGAGATCAATATCAATATTGCAAAACAATCTCATAAAAGTACTTTTATGAATCCTATCTTAAAAATATAACATAAGAGACTTAGGAACGTACATGTACGTCCAAGTTATAAATGCGAGCAGGAGTAAAATTTTCTCGTACTTTTTCATAGTTATTATAAAACATCATAACGTTATGTCTGTTGTCTAGAAAAGCTTGTATTTCCGGGTTTTCATAATGATAAAATTAATGCCTCTTCATAAATCCTTTCATCCATTCAATACTCGCATCCGTTCAATACAATAATCTTATTGTTTATTCACGTCTCAGGGCACTTTTCTAAGACATTAGCATATTGGTATGCCAATTCTCTCTCTCGCTTGCACGTAGGTCAAGCCGTAGTTCATTTTAGACATTCTTAAGAAATACTTTTCCAGCATATATTCCTCATCATTTGTAAAAACTTGATAAACTGTGTGTTTGCTAATATATTCTTTACTTTTTAGAGTAATATTCTCTTTATAATTTTTAACTTTCTAAGACATTAGCATATTGGTATGCCAATTCTCTCTCTCGCTTGCACGTAGGTCAAGCCGTAGTTCATTTTAGACATTCTTAAGAAATACTTTTCCAGCATATATTCCTCATCATTTGTAAAAACTTGATAAACTGTGTGTTTGCTAATATATTCTTTACTTTTTAGAGTAATATTCTCTTTATAATTTTTAACTCTGTTGTATAAAGTAGTTGGTTTTATGTTATATATACCAGCAGCAGTTTTCAGCTTCATGCCATTGTTGACAACACATAATACAGCTCTTTCAGCATCGTCTTCATTCACAGAATTTTCTTTTCTCTTTTTGTAATTTCTAACCATGATGACTGAAACAAGAAATCAATTAAAAATTTAGAAATCTCATGATATTTACTTGGTTAGGTACCTTTGAACATTTTATTCAAAAGTGCCCCAGCAATTTTGTCCAAATCTACCCCAACACCATTTTGCATAAATAAACATCTCTGAACGAAAAACTTACTTGAGTTCAAATTAATTTTCATTTGTAATACTCGGGATATAATATATACAACGCAATAAAATAATAATAACTTGAAAATAATACTTACCTTTTCAGTAATTTGCTTACAAATAAAAAAATATTTATTTACTCTGGTCTTCGTAAACAAACCGGCGAATGATATTCAAAACTACATTGACATTGACGTTAGCTGGAAACTGACAGATGTGTAGGTCGGTTTTACCAGTATTAAAATGGTTTCAGAGGTTAGGAATGATAAAGGATCCGTTCATAAAACAAACAATTCAAAACTGCCTCTGTACTAAACTGCCCCCCTCTCCCCTACATATGAAATGTTATCCCTTTATTTGTAAAGTTACAAATTGTGGAAGAATTTCCGCAGTTGGATATGCTGCAAAACACCATGTTTACCTCTCCGTGTCTCAAATAACACTAGTTACCGCAACAAACGCTTTACACGCGCTTGTGACCTACGAGTCACATGGCGACAAGGTCACGCGTCTATGCCACTTCTATTAGCTTATTATTAAGATTTCTGTGATCAACTCATATTCTTGGGTAATTATTATAACAAAAAAATGTAGCCTTCATCAAAATAAAACATCTTTTTTATATTTCATTCGTTTAATTCGAAGACAAAATAACCAAAAATTACAATGAAAAATATTCGAGGAAGTTTTCAACAACTCCTTGCTATTGGAATGATATATTTTTTTTTGCGCTTCTTAAAAAGTGAGCTTTCAATGATCTACACATAAAATGGGAAACAATTTTTAAAACAGTCAGACCTACCTACAAAATAAAAGTATATATAAAAATGTATTTGTGCAATACATTATACAATGTAAATGATCATGCAAATAGAAGCTATCATACTAAAGTTATAATACTACAAAATTATTATAGTGACATCGATATACTGGGGCTTATTATGCTATTGGAAGATATAGTTCGAGATTCACGGAAGTCCAGTAACATGTAAAATCTTAATTATATTAAAGAATATGGCTAAAGTGACTGAAATAGCTCCCTAAAACTAAAATATAAATTTGACACAGAAAATACATATTATAATTACGGAATGATTTTTTTTTCTAAAATGCAATTCTGGTAAGAGAATTCCGAAAATAGCTGTTAAATGGCACAATCATTTGAGTAAATTACATGAGTATAATAATATTTTCTATCAACACCTTGTTTTTTGCACCAAATTTCTTAACCTAATACACTAAAAGTTATTAAAATATAAGAAATAAAATGTCACATGTCTTTTACAAGGGATATTTGTACTTTATTTTATTCGGACTTTAGATACTGCCTAACGGGTTAATATCATACCCATAAACATATGTATGTATATACCGACTAAAGTCAGAAATAAACATGCAAATTCATAATTTCTAAAAAAAATATCCTTCTTGTCACTTAGTTACCTCTAAATAAAAAGTAACATTTTACGACAAAATACGTTTGAATTGATGATATGTATGCGATTCTTTCTACATTGATAAAACGTCATATTTTGATTCTTATCACAACATCTTACATAATAATATAAAAGTTAGTTAACTTGTAAACATTGAATATTCGTATACTCATATTTTACAGCGGAATTTCCTGTGTGAGCCCAATTTTAAATCAATTATAACTATCCAAACAGTCTTAAACGTTTTTCAACAACGATAAATTCCATTTAAACGCCCAATTCATCTTATCTCTATATCAAAATATTTCTCACCTAATTTTATTTATCGAAAATATCTTAAAGTTTACTGAGACCTTAATTTTTATAGATCAGGCTTTATTGAATAGGCAAATGCTGCTGATTTTGTTAGAAAAACTACATCGCCTATATTAACAAATAAGGAATGTTAAAAAACATTTAATTCGCTTACTGGAACATGTCAGTGTACACACGTCACTACTATAATAGTAATTATTAAAATAATATTTCATATAAAAGGAAATATATCTTCAAACTGGAACAACACTAGCTCAAACACAAATTTTAAGAAAAAGGCACGAAATGTAATAACTCGTTGGGTTTGCAATGAATTCTTAAAACATGTATTAGAGCTATTTTGGAAATAATTCGATACTTTTAAGATATATTGCCTTATTTCTATTCACTTTACGTCTCGGTTTCTTTAGCGTACTTGTCGATGTTCGGATAAATAGGCGCCATTTCTAATGTGGACGGCGCTGATGGTGGGTTGGAACCGAGATTGAGTCGACGTTCTAGCTCATCCAAGACTTCGCCGAACACACGAAGCGAGATGTTTTGGCCAAGTAGGTGAAGGAGTAGGAAATCACCAACCTATAAAATAAAATAGGGCCTTAAACTAATAATACTTTCTTAGATTTACGCGAATATTTGACATTTTAAATAAAACTGTCTTTTCGGTTTATTTCGCGGATTTGTTTTGATTTTTGGTTCCCGACGTTTCGAATGCTTTACAGCAATCATGGTCACAGAAGAGACTAAGGTTATAGACGTCTCAAGCACATACTTGTTACAGACAGTGCCTACCCACTATTTCAAAATAGCGAAATAATCCGAAAAGATAGTTTTATTTAAAATGCCTTAAACCAATTTCAATTATGTTAATCATTAGAAAACTGTTAACTTGATTATTATTAGATAATGAGAAAAAGTTTCTGAGGTTAATGATGCTATAAATAATATGTTTTGTGTGTCAAACCTGAGTTTTTCTAACGAGGGCTGCAACTCCATTAGGAGAACCGAAGCGGAATCGTCTTTTGAGTATAGTCTCGCGAGTGCTCGGCAGAAGTATGACAGCAGCCGAGTACACGAGAGCCAAGCCGGAGACAACAGATAATATGATGAACCTGAAATAAAAAATTTATTTTAATTCATTGTATATAAAACTGAAGACATTTTTAATAAATTTAATCACTCTACCTAATGCATGAAAATCCTTGAATCACAATGAAACAATAATTTTTATCCGAAGAAGGTTCATTCACCGAATCAAGGTTATTTATAATTACGATTAGGTTAAAGAAGCGTGTAAAGTTTTAAAAAGAACGCATTCTGAGGTTAAATAACTATAAAAACAGACCATTAAATTCACTAACTTACCAGAACCAAAGGAAAATGAAAATCTTTTCGTTAAGGATGTTCAAGGCGAGAACACAGAGTGCGTCGTGTTTCTGGATTGTTCCAGAAGCTCCAAACTTGTGGAATGTGCATTTAGTGACTCTTGGGAACACCTCGATCTGTAAATAAACAGCAAATAAATTAAAAACCTATAAATAAATCATATTCAATATCTTCAGAATTGTGACTGTATTAAAAATATTTTTTTCTACATTAATAATTTTATAAAGAGCTAAAGTGAGAGTTCAAACGTACGAGATACTATACTTTAGAATTACTGATTCAACTAATATTATTTTTAAGTTATACTGATTATTTTTTAAACCATTATATATTACCTTATTATTTTAATAAATCTCATAATTACCATAGGATCATTTCGTTGTTCCTGATTCATGTTTGAAAACTTGACAACATCGGTTCCATACGATAAGAAAGCTCCGCCAAGGAATGTGTCCAAAAAGAAAATGTTGCCAACCTTAAAATAATATTATAATTGGTATTGTATTATAATTTTAATATATAAATATTTCTGTTCCAAATTATATGATACTTACAACATTGGCAAAGTTAAGAACTTCACAGAAGAAATATCCGAAGGAGTAGGTGTTGTGCATATGAAGTGTGTCTAGTAGGTATTGGACTAAGCGATTCTGGAACACAATAAAATTTTATTTTCATGATATGTACAATAAATACAGTCTTAAGGAATTCAAAGGAGCATTCGATTTCATTATGCAACGAGCTGAGGTCAATTATTAGGGACATCGAGTTTTATTAGTGCGCTTTATCTTAATTGCACCAATTGATGGAACTGGTCGGTATGCTTATAACGAAATGATATTTTAACACAAAAGTTATACTCGTGCGTATTTAATAATATTATTGTTTACCTGTATTCATAGATAATAATGCATAGGAAGCATATTTGAAACAATACGTTCGTGAGGCTTTGTTACTATACGGAGAAATATGAAACAACATTATAGGAATAATGATGTTAATCACTTTATATGCAGATCTATAAGAAATTTCAATCTTTTATGTATGTATGTATGAAATATAATAGTTACCTGGCGGTTTGTTTTGTCGTCAGCAATAGTGGCCATCGTCCCACGCATGCCATCGGAGATCATGCGGACTTTGCCTTCCTCCCAGTTCTTCCAAATCCAGTGAGGAATGTAGAACAAGATACCCTGCAAATAATATTTAATGATAGCGGTAAATAAAAACGATACCTTCCATTGATAGATTCTTTGTTAAATTTAACCAGTTCTTTTGCTATCTTGTTTTTCTTAAATGGTTTTAGGATTTCCGTTTTATACAAAATTATTAACAACTAGCGGCTCACCTTCGCTTTGCTCGGGTTCGCCTCTAGGAAAACAAAAACAAACTTATCCCACGGGAACCGTACATTTTTCCGGGATAAAAAGTAGCCTATGTGTTATCCCAGACTATAATCTATCTATGTGCCAAATTTAATATTTCTGGTGTAATAGAGTAACAAACATCCATACTCACAGACTTTCACATTTATAAAATTAATACGAATTATCATAAATTTTGTAAAGTGCCTTAGTTAACGATAAAGGATAGTAATGAGATAAAGGCTGTAATATTTTAAACATGGTAGCATTTACCTGGAAGAATAGCATGAAAGGCACCCATTGATAGTATGAGTGGATGCGTTTCTCTTCTTCATAATCGTTACCGAGGCCCGGGTGAGCGATGCCCTTAGCTCCGCTGTAGGGAAGCGTGAACGTGTAAGTGATCCAGCAATAGGTATTTAATATGTGTGCAGGAACCGCTCCATCACTAATACATGAGATCGGGTCACCTGGAATAAAAAAAGTTTCTATTATTATCTACTTTCTAAGTAAAGCAAAAAAAAATTGTTAGGTTAGTTTTTTGTATTCTATGTGCCCATTGTTTGTTTTACACGTATGACATGTACACGTGATTCTCTTAATGATAATAAATGTAATAAATAAATTGCATAATGAAATATTTAATGACATAGATTTATTTTCCCTTCCTTTAAATAAGTTCAAAATTTTACTAGAACTGTCTGTTTGTGATCGTTCGATCGTGTGTTCTTGTAATTTACTTTAATTTTTAATAAGCTAACATGCTTTATAACCTTAAGAATTTGTAAACTGTGAAGACTTAATTGGTGTATATGTAAAGTTTTTATTCTTTTCTATACTAATATTATAAAGAGGTAATCTCTGGATCTACTGAACCGATTTAGATGAAATTTGGTAAGAAGATAATTTGAGACCCTGGAAAGGACATAGGATACTTTTTATCCCAGAAATTACCCCTTAAGAGGGTGAAAATGGGGTGAAAGTTTGTATTGGGAAGCAAGCTAGGGAGTCGCTAGTTGTTTATATGTAACTAAATACTGTTTGTCTTCTTAATAAATAACTATACACTGTCTTCCATAAATTACTTTTAGAACTGAATTTTCCTATAGTAGGTTTTATTTGGTAGTTTAACTATTTGTATACGGTATATTTTACGTTCGGATAATTATGTACATTATACATATCCAATTCATATTTATATCGTAAGATATTTTATGATAATTTTTAATAGTCTATTCATAATAATATGCAGATATTTTAAATGGCGTATAGCTTATTACATTTCTCACGTGTCCTCGACATTGTATCATGGATTGCGGATGGCACTAATGTTCATTTTAATAGTATAGTCGTCTCCCCACCTGCCGCAATTGTAACGACCGTGACTTAAACACCTTGATCGTTTTGAATATATTTCTTTACTAAGATTTAGACATTTAATTTACTAAATTTCTTTATTTAACTCAAAATGACTGACCAAAGCCGTAAACAATGATTGCATTACGTCGAAGTGCAATAATAATATGTATGAAATCATATTCACTTATTCCCAGAAATAACAATATTATAAGGCAAAAATATAAGTCAACTGGTTTTGTAATAATTGAATCTTATTATAAAACTAGCATTGCCCGCGGCTCCGCCCGCGTTCAGATGACCGAAAACCAAATTCTTAGGTTTTACATATTAGTATACTCTTACAATGCAGTTTTTGTATTTTTTCTCAGAAATGAGATATTTTCCGCGGTAAAAAGTATCCTATACGTTGACCCGGATAACCAGCTATCATCATAGCAAATATCATCAAAATCTGTCCAGTGGTTTTCTCGTGATGCGGTAACAGACAGACAGACAAAATTTCTAAAAACTATAGATTCGGACTCTGTATCGATAATAATGTCTATTTCAATTAGATTTTCCAAAAAATATTTAATGTACAGTTTCGACTTGACTGACTTATTATATGTATAGATAATGATTTGTTATAAATATGGAATCATGTAACATTTGAATCAAGTATGTGTAAGTATGTACTTTATTTTTGTTAGTCTTACACAATGTAATGTACTGAATTTGTTAACTTCTGTATATTGTTAAGTTATTGTTACTACGTGACATTGAACCTAATGTGATCCGTGAGTTTGTACCCTACCCATATATGTATACCTATTGTATCTATACATGACAATATAAACATTAAACAGTCATATGTAGCTTATTAGGGTTTTACTAATTCTTTACTTTCTTTGAACACTGATATTCTAATTTAAAAATTACGAAAATATTTTTTAAAGTCTTTACGCAGAATAATAAACCAAAAAAGAGTTTAGAGGTAATAATTCTATTAATTTAATACTAGCCATTCACCCTCGCTTCGCTCGGGTTCGTCCCTAGGTTGATTCCCCATACAAACTATCATCCCCATTTTCACCCCCTTAAGGGATGATTTACGGGATAAAAAGTACCCTATGTCCTTCCCATGGTCTCAAACTATCTTCTTACAAAATTTTATCTAAATCTTTTCAGTAGATCCAGAGATTACCCCCTACAACGTCACAAACTCACGAACTTTACCTCTTTATAATATTAGTATAGAAGTATAGATTTTCCAATGAAATATATTAAGATGTAAGCAATATTTGTGTGAACTAAATACATAGTTCGAAGATTAGTGCCAATTGAAGCCGTCGCTTGGTTGCTAATTGCCCTATAACGAGCACTTAGAATTGTTAGAGCGTTTATCATCAAATTATTATGAATATTACGATGAAGTCTGCAAGCAATGCTTAATATTTTTTTCCTATGATATATTATTTAATACATTATAGAATTGAAGTTATAATACTAAAAGTATAAATAAAAAAAATATGTAAATAGTACTGTACAGTACCGTAGGTATAGGTACGTGTTACAAAGAACCGATAAATGGAATTAGGTCATTTTCGATGGTGATATTGATGTATGCAGGTACTATGGATACGGGCGGTGTGGCACGGTGTTGATTGTTTACGACATTTTATTATTATTTGCTTCTGCTAGAGAGCGACAGACATAAGATATATGTATGTATGTCAGTGAAAGAAAAATAAAGTATAAATCGTGATTCAATACTTCGACTGCGTATTTGTTGTAGCTGGTTTCTAGTCATTATTCTAGGTCAGGGCAAACTTCGGACTTACGGTTTTATAAGTGACACCTGTTGCCCTTTACGTATTGTATATGATTTTTCATGAGATGGAATAAAAAACTTAGTAAGTAAAAAACTTATACGTACAAGAAAAATGATGGTAGGTTTGTATATAGAGACTAATTAATATTATCACGAGTCACGACTATATAATAAGGCACAATTAAGATAATATTAAAAAGATGTACTAACGTTTTAAAGAAAGACAAAATGGTATGAATGGTTCAAGAATTTCTGTTAACTAATGATTTTTGTACTATTTTAAGTTTTACAAAAATTTACATGTGAACTGGTACAATATAAAATTAATCTTTTCTGCTAGTGCTAGCGTTTGCAATGTTATCATTTCTTAGTTGTTTTTCTAGCCAACTCATGTATAAGTAAAGGCAGCAAGACTTTATCGCTGTCGTATGCAGTTTTGATTGCCTGCACCTGGCTTGCAGATGTGGCTCAGTTACACAAAGCTTAATGATTTGCTATATTACTTTGATTGTAAACTGCTGACTGACTAAACCTTGGCACATTTCACAAATAAAAACAATTCCCTAACGTACGTAAACAATTATTAGTAAATAATAAATTATGAGTAAACTAAATCTTCATTAATTCTGGTCTCTATTAGTCTGAAAACTTAGTCCATTTAATCCTCTTGGGAATAGTTGAGCTTGTTTTTTGTTTTATTTATAACTTATGATGATATATGTAGTGCAATGACACTTAGAACCAATTCAATACTTATTAATAATAATTAAAGATTTACGAATGATAAGCTGGTTTTTGCTGTGAGGCTTTGAAACGATTAGCATATTTGAAACAGGTGTGGGCACAAGTGACTAAGAAAAAAAAGTACAGCTCTAAGTCGTCTCTACTTATGTGTCAACGTCAAGAATTTCTGAGAAAAGAAAAATAACGTTATCATTTATCTATACATATAATAAAATTGTAACTAAGCCGAATCTGTACATTAAATATTTTTTGGAAAATCTTATTGAGAAAGACATTATTATCGTTACAGAGGCCGAATTTATAGTTTTAGATGTTTTGTCTGTCTGTTACCGCATCACGGAAAAATCCACTGGAGGGATTTTGACCAAATTTGGTATGATAATACCTGGTTATCCGGATCAACATATAGGATACTTTTTGCTGCGGGAAAATATCTTATCTCTGAGAAATCGATACTAAGCGTTAAAACTTAAGTAGGGTGAGTCGCTAGTTTATTCATATCAAAAACGTTTCTTCTAGTTATGAAAAAGTACCTTTTGAAGTACTAAATCTCAACGTTGATTATGATTAGAAACGTGACCTAGTAAGCACAATCTTTATTCGCGTTGCAATTTATGAGTGACTAGCGAAATACTGATTGCAAGTTATATTTCAAAATATTCAAAGTTCAGCTGTGTTTTAGTATAATTGAAAAATTGGTTAATACACCATTTTATTTATATATTATATCCCAAGATAAAATTGTTGAATTGGTATAAACTGACCATACATTTTTCTATTCATTCGAAGAATTAATGAAAGAATTCTTTTTTTTCATATCGAAGACGAAGTACCGTAAAGTTAAACATAATGAATCAACTCTCCACTAATACATGTGAAAGGCAAAAAAATAAGTAATATGTCAAGAGATGATATTACAACGGTTTTAACCGCCGACAGTTTTTAACTAATGATTTATGCAATCGTATCTTATTCTGATAACTTTTTATTTTAAGAAAATAAAAATGTTGCGACATTAACATATAGCACCATCTAGTTCCATGGTAAGCTACGAGGCTTGTGTTATGGATACTAGATAGTTGATACACTATACATATATAACTTTTAAATACATGCATATTATGAATATAAACACACATGACTGGAGTACAAACATTTGTGTTCATCACACAACTAAATGCCACCAGCGGGACTCGAATCCGCTACCGCTGGTATAGCAAGTACCCCACTGCAAACTGAGCCTAACGTGTCGTAAAATGCTACTTGTTAAATTCTTTATAAGGTGATCAAGTGGCTGTTAATGTTGACAACTTCATAAGGGGCACGCGATAACGCGATCGTTAATAATATCTTATGTTTGTTCTCACAGATCTGTTACCACTTGACAGTATCTGCTGTGAGATGAAAAAAAAACTATTAAAAGTCAAAAAAATTAATAAAAGATACCTGTTTGTGTATTTAACCCTATATCTATATTATAAATTATTAACTAAACTTTCTTACTTTTAATAACTAAGTGGGTTTTATAATTATATGAAATGAACTTTTACCGCTTGTAAAGTGCTATGTTATTTATTTATCTTATATAATAACTAGCGACTCACCCTCGCTTCGCTTGGGTTCGTCCCAAGGTTGATTCCCCCATACAAACTTAATCCCCATTTTCACCACCTCAAGGGATAATTTTCGGGATAAAAAGTATCATATGTCCTTCTCAGGGTCTCAAACTATCTTTTTACCAAATTTCATCTAAATCGGTTCAGTAGATCCAGAGATTACCTCCTACAACGTCACAAACTATAATATTAGTATAATTGCAATAATTCTAAGTAATTACTATCTTTGATCAAAGTTAGTAGGTACTCATATCTAGGTACTGTTTTATTAAACTTAATGAAAATGAGTATTTATCTAACATTATTTTCTATTGTCTTTTTAATTTCTATGAATAAATAAATCTATAATATTTCATTAATACCTCGCATTTGCCCTATATTCGTGATAAAATTTCATCGTTAGGTGAGACAGGTCAAGATTTTTTATAGATGTAATAGTTCACTGGCCCGATTTACTTCAATGATTTTAACCTTATCACGTTCGCACACGCCTCTCAGTATTTGTGTATACAACCAATTTACTCATGACGTCTCAATTTAGGTAACTGTTACAATACCTACATATATGGCTTATTCAACAACGAACTGAAAGTGATTCATTTCACCACAGATACGGTATGTCTGACTAGACTTTTAGGTACTGTTATTTTAACATATATTCACTTAGTGTCCGAGGTTTAGGTCAAAACCTCGTTGATTAACACAACATCGATTTTATTCATTAGCAAAGTTAGTATTTACTTTCTCCTCACTGTTTATTATTAACTTTCACGGTATTTGAAACTAAAGTGCATTTTAAATGAGTGTGGCATTAATTTTATTATTGTTATTCATCATATGTTGTTTTAATGTTAAATTATGTTAATAAGACGTTTTTTCTAGGACATGCAATTTTCTATTATCTTTTATACTTCGTTGGAGACTTATATATTATACTAGCGACTACCTACTACTACTACTACTCGTCCCTACTTACGTTTAGTATAGACTTTTAAGAGATGAGATATTTTCCCGCAGTAAAAAGTATCCTATAAGTTGACCCGGATAATCAGCTATCATCACGCCAAATTTCATCAAAATCCCTCCAGTGGTTTTTCCGTAATGCGGTCACAGACAGACAGACAAAAATTCGAAAAACTATAGATTCGGCCTCTGTATCGATAATAATGTTTATTTCAATAAGACTTTCCAAAAAATATTTATTGTACAGATTCGGTTTAGTTTTATTATATGTATAGATTTTATTGTAGCACCTATTTTTGACTTAAAATGGACAATTAGAAAAGTTTTTTTCGTGTAATGTATGTTTTCGAATGTCATAAACTTACCAATTAGGTTATTAGCAGTAACGAGGATACAGCACAGGAACATAATAGCGGATGTTATTCTATAGTGCATCCTAAAAACCATATTGTCGATGACAGCTTTGTCGATCAGGTAGCGGACTTTAACAAAGCCCGCTACCGCGGAGGCCATTCCGAACACCGCCATCTTTAAGTAATTTTATCTTCCTCTGAAACAAAGAAACATTATTTAGTCCATGTAAATATGATTCTTAATTTCCTATAATAAAATCTATAAATACTTTTACTACTGAAGCATAAGTCACCATAAGGGACTACTATAAATAAAACCATTACAGATGGTATGCGTTGTCCATATAAGATTAACTAAACAGTTACTTTAATCTAGTAAAAGTTTGTTGTATACTGTATCACTACTTATTTTTATGGGTATATTAATTCAATCTGATAAAAAATACTTAATTAAATTCGATATACCCGGTAATATAGATTACAGCTATTGATATTCTTATATAAGCGACATGGAATATGTTTTCTAAATCAATGACCTCTCGATCGTTCGAAAGACCTTTCGCCCACGTATGGTATTAGTTGGAATTATCCATGTATTAAACATACTGTGCTTAGTTATCTCGCATTTATGTAATATAGTATGATTTTCTTATATCACAGGCTTTGGATATATTCCACGTATAAAGTCATAAATGGGTACCAACTATCATAAGTCGCAATTCATCACAAATGGATCCAACCTTGACGACTTCTTGATCTCGTTCCTACGCGGCGTCGTATGTCTAAGATAAATTATTTAAGACGTTGTGGGGGACAAAATTAATAACTATCACAAATGACATCTTCAATTGTTATAAAACGGAATATAGATATATACGAAGAATATATATATAATAGGTATATTCTGAATATTTTATACCGGCAATAAGATTTTATTAATCATATTTATTTTTGCGGATTCTATACAGTCGTCGTGGTTTCCAATAATATAAAGCCCTATTTTCCATAATAATCCCATATTTTCTTTTGGCCCTGGTTGCGGTATTGCGGACGAATGTTGCGCCAGCGCAGGGCCTGCGGCGGGTCGTCGACCGGCCGCTGTTCGCCTCCTGCGTTTTTAACCCCCCTCTCCTTTCCTCTAGCTGCTTTGCTTGCCTCGGTCCAGACTGATGCATCGCGTGGCAACGCAAATTTTACGCGGAAACCAGTTTTCCAGTCCGGGTAGCGACAACCTTTACCCGTTTCTCACGTTGCTGACATTCTCAATGTCTGCCTATTCTTTGTCTTGGCAAATTATTATTAATGCTTTGATAGATATATTTTTTTCTGTAAAATTGACTAAGTAAAGAAAGTTGTTTGATTTAGTTTATATTATCGTTAAAGTTTGTGAAATTATAGTAGTTGTATAAAATATATTTATCAAAGTCATCGTATTACGATTTTTAGTATAATGTGTGGACTTTCAGGAGAATTAATGAATAATAGATATATGTATGTAGGTACATTGCACATTCCACGATTCATGACGAGCGCTAGAGCACAGATTGGTCACGTCCCTGAATAAGCTTTGTAAATTCGAATACAAGAATCTACGATATTTTATCTTTTTATAGCACAGAAACATAAATCACTGCATAGTATATACTGGTTTTCTTTCTTTAGTTCGTTCCGTGGATTCGATAGCATTACAATTTTGATCTCGCGATGTACTTTTTTTACTTACTCACTCTATCCATCTCTTCACAAATGCTGGTTATATATGTACTTATAGTAATCAAATTGAATATAATGAACTAGGTAGACGTGTTAACAGCTGCCGGCGGCACGCGTCAAATGGACTCTAATATTAATTACGGTAGACGGACGCTGACGTCTGCATGACCATTGAGCATCTCTCATAATAAAGGCAATCAGCTCATAAGAAAGAATCACTGTTCATTTATTCTCTCTTCTTATATCCCTTATTATAAGAAAGTTTAACTAATTCATTCGACGAACACATGTTACTCTCGTTAAACTTTAATTTCTGTTTTATTCGTACATAAATTTAGCTTTTTTGTTGTTTTTTTAAACATATTTGGTATAACTTTCATTGAATTACGTCATCGAACAATATAAAGCATTTGTTAAAAAAAAATAAGAACGCGAATGAATGTTGAATTGTCATGTGGTGTAATCTACGTGATCTCGCCTCGCAGCGGGTTCGCCGGACGATGACGTCTCCGGTATAATTAACTCCATTGACTATCATAGTTCCACGTTGTTTACCTCGTAGAAATTATGAGAAGACACGTGATTAGCGATAGCTACTGGATATACTATTTATTAACCGTATCACAGTAAAAAATTGTGCCTTGCATCCATACTATTTTACTGATATATTTTAAATATTACAGAATTAGTAGTTTATTGTATAATATTTTCAATTTAATTATAAATTAAAAATTAATAAAAAACCCTACGCAAATTAATTGTCATTTAACGATTACACTGGCACGCGTGAAGCACTTAATCGAGTATTCATACGCCAAAATGCCTTACATCATTTTGGAAAAGTGCTGATACTCTTACACTGCTGGACTGATATGAACCAAACATAGCTAAGAACCACCGCAAGGAAACTGGCTTTCAAATGAAAAAAACCGCATCGAAATCGGTCGATCCGTTTGAGAGTTACGATGCCACATACAGACAGACAGACATCGACGTCAAACTTATAACACCCCTCTTTTTGCGTCGGAGGTCAAAAAGTAAATACAGTAAAGAAATCTAAATAAACTAATTTTTCCTACGAAAATGTTAATATACTAATGTGACAACAAAGTTAACCTATTTATCAATTAGTATGTGGAATTTTTATGAATGGACGTAAAGATAAGCCTAAATACCAGTCATGGTGTCCTTCCTTTGGCCGGTCAACAATAGTATAATATCACAATAAGGAAATGCGCTTTGCAATGTAGGTAACATTGTGGTTTCATTATAAGGGTTATGTTTCGTGTGCTCAAAGGTGATAAATGATCATATACTCGTTATACTTTATCCATATCGTTTTATAGTGGCTTGTATAGATTTGCGGTTTGGATACCGCTATTAATAACATCCATAATAATAATTAACATTCTTTCAATGAAAACATTCATCTTGTTGAATTTTATTTACTTTTACTATATTATAACCTATTTTTCTATAAGACTTATTTTTGTAAATGACTTTTCTTAATGATTGGAACCTCACTTATATATACTTTTTAACGTCTCACTGTTGGGCACGGGCCTCTCTTCAATGCGTGGGGGATCAGGCCATAGTCCATGAGCAATTGCGAATTGGCGAACTTCATATATCTTTCAAAAACTTCTAAGTTCTTTCAGACACGTAGGTTGCCTTCCTTCACGATGTTATTCTTCACCGTAAGAAAAGTGGTAATCTCGTTGAAAAATGATTCGGGTTTTGAATCGCTTCTCTTGACTTAAAGGCAGTGGTAGCCCAGTGGTAACGCTTCTTGTTTTAATATTCAAGTTTAAATATTTATTTGAAATTATTATCTGCCATAAATAATTACGTTGTTATCATTTTTTGGGTGACCGTATTAGTTGTGTTGTATCTGACTGACGCCAAAGCGTAACTAGGAACTACCAAAGTCCATTGTCGTAAAACAATAGAAAATGAATTAAAGAATGTTAAAAACACACGGCTCTTTCTCACACCCTTAATGATTGTAATTCAAAGCTATAAAATATGTAAATCAATTATATGGTATTCATGTTGCGATTTACATCGAAAAATAACGGATATAATGACCTAATTTTATATCAAGATGTCATGGAAATAATTAAATTATCATCCAGATGTGCCGTTATTTACAAAGGTCAAAGTTGCGAGCCGATCAAGATACAAGGCGCGTATTGTAGAACTTGTCCGGCTAATTGTTATCGTGCGTGCGGAATACACAATACCTACGCAGTTTTTGAACTACACTATGCACCAATGAATCATTGCAATTCAGTGTTGATAACACAAAAGCTTGACAATGACTTGTTTCGGTAAAGCCTTTTAGTACTAATCGTAAGAAATGATAGAGTTTAAAATAAAAAAAAAATTGTTTAGATCTTTTTCTGAAGTAGGTACAGCTTAAAACTCACACGTGTACACATTCAGTATTGTACGTTATTATACATATATATATATATATATTACGTGTTGTGAACCTAATATTTTTTTTATATCGGCTAGATAAAAATATACATAAATGATATAAATAAATAATACTTTCTTAGATTTACGCGAATATTTGACATTTTAAATAAAACTATCTTTTCGGATTTTGTCGCGGATTTATTTGGATTTTTGTTTCCCGACGTTTCGAATGCTTTACAGCATCCATGGTCACGGGAGAGACTGAGGTGTTACATGTCTTGAATGTATAGTTGTTACAGACAGCCTACCCACAATTAACAAAATGAAAATTGCACCAATTACATTACAATATTTTTTAACTTTAAACATTTTTATAATTTTAATTATAATTGAATATGGAAAATTATTTATTTAATTTTGCTATTATTTTTATAATTATTACAATTTGAAAATATTAATTAGTAATCTATATTTAGTGTTGCCATTATTATATTTATAACCATAAAGAAAAATATAAAATGTAGTATTAATTATTAAAGCCATATAATTGTTCTATGTGTAATTTAAAAAGTTAAAATTAATTAAGGATAATAATTTTAATTTAGTTTGCTATTATTTAAAAACAACTTACTAAGCAACACTATTAATATATACTTTTACAAATGAAAAATGAAAAATATTAGTCTGATAAGCTGTCATTTTGATCTACATAGTATGAACTTACTACATCTGCCTGTCTGTTATGTTTATATTTATTATTTGATTTTATTATATTAATAACAGGATCCCATGACGATGGTAGTACCCAGCCATCTTCCCTATTGAAATTAGGATGTTTTTTAATTTCTATGGCTTCTCGAATCATTCTAGGGCGATATCGGTTTTCTTTCGCCAGGATTTGAGGTCTATCGAAGCGAATATAATGGCTTGGGCGGTCCTGACTATGTTTGCAGACAG